ATTAAAAAAAAAAAAAAGTTGGGGGGTGGGCGAGGAGGCAGAAAGGCGGGGGCTTGGGGGAGGAAGGCAGGAAGGAAGTTGTGAGCCTGTCTGGGGTTGAACTCAGCGGAACAAGTTTTTCTTTTCTTCTTTTTTTTTCTATTGCTTGGCAAGACCGAGGGAGGGAAACACTTTTTTTTTTTTTAAAGTTTCCATTGTTAGCTAACAAAAAAGAAAAAAAAAGAGGCTTTTAACTTCTGCGGGTTTAAGATACACCATTTATTTTCCACCCCTCGACCAAGGTTTGCTGGTGTCTAGTTTTATGAAGCTACTTTTGAAAACTGTTTTTAATAAAGTTTTGAATGTTTTGCTAAACAAAGCCGCTAGTGGGGGATCTGTTAGCATTTAAAACGGGCTAAAATTCTGCATAAACAGCTTGTGTGCTTGTACACAATAGGCAAATTTTAAAAGCTATATTGTAGGGCATTTCCCTGCACAATTGCAAATTTTAAATGCGTTTGTTAGGGTAGCATTTTGGAAGGCCGGCTGGGCTAGGAGCTGCTGAAGGGTGTGCATGCAGGGTGATTGCTTGGTGTTGTGCATTTATCTATGACTGCACACAGCAACTGTGCCATTCCCATATTTTTGCACTCAATCCTTAAAGTTATTTTAAGAAAAAGCATAGTCCTGAGCTCAGGCCTGATCAAGGTCTGAAAACACTTGCTCAGTTTCCTGTGAACTTACTCTCCTGTGCTTTCAAGCATTCAACTGGATCCTCAAAAAATGGGGGGCCATCAGGCAACATTACAAGGCAGGGGAACCCCCCCACACACACACACACTCTTAAGCCTGGGCACTGCCAGTGTGTTTTGCATAATTCCCTAAATCTTAACCCTAGCATTTAGTGGAAATGGGGAAACACAGCTGTGAGGCTTAGGAGGTTTAAGAATCCCAAGCTTGAATCCACCCTTATATCCTGATTAGCCAAAATTCAGATGGAAACTCTGGCTTTGCCTGTAGCAAACAGACGGCTCACTTGTTTATGTAACAATACCGTTGAAGTGAGCAAAGCAACCTGCTGCTTGGTCAGGAAAAGACTCAAGCAAATCCGAAACCAAGAGCTCTTCAAGCCAAGAATTCCTGGAATCAGACACATCCTTTCTGAATTAAAAAAAAAAATGCAAAACACACACACACAAAATGCCACGAAGGGACTGAATCTCCCACCCTCCGTGGGGCTGAATAAAAAGAGCCCAGTGTTTGTTCAAGTGCTAACTCAGGCTCTAGGTGGTTCCTCAAAGAAGCCACCTCTGTGCTCCTTGTTTGGTCCCTAGTGGCAAGAAGAGGAGTTGCCCAGAAGACTCATGCCCTAAAATCTAATCTGAGAGGTGATCTCCCTAGGGGATGCCAAGAGCCATGACAAGTGTCACAGTGGAAGCCACAGAAGAGCCTAGCAAAGCGCACACAAAGCATAGGAAGTAACCTTCCCAGCCCGGGAGAAGCTGTCCACAGCTGCTACCATCTCACACAGGTGGTTCAGTCAGCCTTCCCTAGCTGAGAAATGAAGGCTTCCTGAGAAATCCTCTACCAATCAGCAGCTGTCAAATATGCAGACAGGACTTCTGGCTTGGATGCAAGGAAGTTCCACCAGGCGATAATCCAAACTGTGACATTGAGTAGGTTTGGTTGGGTGAAAGTTCCAAATTTGGAAATCAATGTGGTAGTCTTTACGTCCTACCGTAGAATCCAGCTGGTTTCCACAATTTAAAACAATGTAACATGTAGTAGTTGCTATTTGCCAGACACTGTTTTAAACACATCAGGAATTATTCAGGACTAGGGATGCAATATGGGTGATAGAATGCCTTGCTGGCATGCACAGTGTTCTGTGTTTGATCCTCAGCACCACATAAAACAGGCATGTTGGCCTAGTGACAGATACCTACAATCCCAGCACTCCAGATGCGGAAGCAGGAGGGTAGGAAGTTCAGAGTCAGTCCCCTGGGGTGGTGCACACCTTTAATCCTAGCACTTGGGAGACAGAGGCAGGTGAGGCCAACCTGGTCTACAGAACAAGTTCCAGGACAGTCAGGACTACATAGCATAGAGAGTTTGAAGCCAGCTTGGGCTACCTGAGATCATGTCTCAGCAACCCCTCCCTGCCCCTAACACATATAAAAGAAAAACACAATTTACATATTTTCAACCTTTTAACAACCCTGTCAGGTAGGCGATGTTACAAGCCTCATTTACACAAGAAATTAGAGCCAAGACATTTGAAAACTTCTGATACCACCTCCAATACCAAAGCTGGTAAGGCTCCATCAGTGCCAGTGCAGACTGGTCACAGAATCCATGCTTGTTGCTACTTCTTACACCAGTCACTTACAACTAGCTACCACCTAACTTTTCAGAGGCCCCATTTGCTCACTTTTGGGATAGAATTTTAAAGATCAACACTCTGAACTTAATATGTAAAAAAAAAGGGCAGCTGAAAAAAATCCTTAGCTCACATCATACTCAACGATGAAGGACTGGGGCGATGCGCTCTACAATCATGAGAAGGTTAGGGTGTCTGCTTTTACTACCTTTCAACATTGTACTTAAAAAGCTGAATGAGGTAGCGAGTGCCTATAATCCCAACACTCCAGCTTCATTGCAAATACATTGCAAATTCAACAACAGTTTGAGCTATGTGAGAACCTGCTGTGGAATAATCCCTTTGTACACTGTGTAAATATAGGTCTCTGGGATTGGTTTAATAAAGAAGACAGCCTGCCAATAGCTGAACAGAGTAAGCTTAGGCAGGAGATGTTAGGATTCAGGCATCTGTACTGGCCTGCCTTTGGAGTTCTGACAGGATACGCCCCTCTCAGTTAGTGCTACTAAGAGCACCACCTGAGCCTATTCACTATGTTCCCTTTTAAAAAGGGCCCTGCCCACCTCCCATCTCTCCCTCCCCCTCTCCCCCCTCCCCCTCTCCCTTTGTCTCTAAAGCCACTTAAAAAAAAAATTACAACAGGAGAGCCAGACTAGGAGAATACTGGAAGAAGGGCAGAGTCTGGAGTCACCAGCCAAATGCAGAGGGAGCAGGAGATGATTGTGGCATGCTAATTAAGGTACTGCCATGTGTCATGATGTAAATAAGAA